GTGGGCAGTGTGAACAGTGTGGGCAGTGTGGGCAGTGTGAACAGTGGGCAGTGTGAACAGTGTGGGCAGTGTGAACAGTGTGGGCAGCATGGGCAGCGTGAACAGTGTGGGCAGTGTGGGCAGCGTGAGCAGTATGGGCAGTGTGGGCAGTGTGAGCAGCATGGGCAGCATGAACAGTGTGGGCAGTGTGGGCAGTGTGTGCAGTGTGAACAGTGTGGGCAGCATGAGTAGTATGGGCAATGTGGGCAGTGTGAGCAGCGTGGGCAGTGTGAACAGTGCGGGTAGTGTATGCAGTGTGAACAGTGTGGACAGTGTGGACAGCGTGGGCAGCGTGGGCAGTGTGAACAGTGTGGGCAGTGTATGCAGTGTGAACAGTGTGGACAGTGTGGGCAGTGTGGACAGTGTGAGCAGTGTGGACAGTGTGGGCAGTGTGGGCAATATGAACAGAGTGGACAGTATGGGCAGTGTGGACAGTGTGGGCAGTGTGGGCAGCATGAGCAGCGTGGGCAGCGTGGACAGTATGGGCAGTGTGGACAGTGTGGGCAGTGTGGACAGTATGGGCAGTGTGGACAGTATGGGCAGTGTGGACAGTGTGGGCAGTGTGGGCAGCATGAGCAGCGTGGGCAGCATGGGCAGCGTAGGCAGATGAACAGTGCGGGCAGTGTGAACAGTGTGTGCAGTGCGGGCAGTGTAGACAGTGTGAACAGTGTGCAGTGCGGGCAGCGTGGGCAGTGTGAACAGCGTGGGCAGCGTGAACAGTGTGAGCAGCGTGGGCAGTGTGGGCAGAGTGGGCAGTGTGAACAGTGTGTGCAGTGTGAGCAGTGTGAACAGTGTGGGCAGCGTGTGCAGTGTGAACAGCATGGGCAGCGTGAACAGCGTGGGCAGCGTGAACAGTGTGGGCAGTGTGGACAGTGTGAGCAGCATAGGCAATGTGAACAGTGTGAGCAGCGTGAACAGTGTGTGCAGTGTGAACAGTGTGAACAGTGTGAGCAGTGTGGGCAGTGTGGGCAGCATGGGCAGTGTGAACAGTGTGGGCAGCATGAGCAGCGTGGGCAGTGTGAACAGTGTGAGCAGTGTGTGCAGTGTGGGCAGCGTGGGCAGTGTGAACAGTGTGGGCAGTATGTGCAGTGTGAACTGTGTGCAGCATGGGCAGTGTGAACAGTGTGGGCAGTGTGAACAGTGTGGGCAGTGTGAACAGTGTGAATAGTGTGGGTAGCCTGGGCAGTGTGAACAGTATGAATAGTGTGAACAGTGTGGGCAGCGTGAGCAGCATGGGCAGTGTGAACAGCATGGGCAGTGTGAACAACGTGGGCAGTGTGAACAGTGTGAATAGTGTGGGCAGCATGGGCAGTGTGGGCAGCATGGGCAGTGTGAACAGTGTGAAAAGTGTGGGCAGTGTGAACAGTGTGGGCAGCGTGGGCAGTGTGAACAGCGTGGGCAGCGTGGGCAGTGTGAACAGTGTGAACAGCGTGGGCAGTGTGGGCAGCGTGGGCAGTGTGAACAGTGTGAACAGCGTGAACAGTGTGGGCAGCGTGGGCAGTGTGAACAGTGTGAACAGCGTGGGCAATGTGGGCAGCGTGGGCAGCGTGGGCAGTGTGAACAGTGTGAACAGCGTGGGCAATGTGGGCAGCGTGGGCAGCGTGGGCATGGGAACCCTAAGACCAAGGGAATGACAGGTGATGCTGTTCTGACCCCCAACCTTCGGGGAATGTATCGTCCAGTCCTCCCACTTAGTTTTTCCATTGGCCACGAACCCATTTATAATTTGATAAGAATCTCTGTCACAAGAGGAAGGAAGGGACGGATGGCTTTGTTCCCGAGACGTGCCTGGGTACGAGGTGAAAAACAACTTGGGGAAAAAAAAAACAACCGAAATCATCAGGTGCTCAGTGAGAATCTGATTCTGAGATTAAAGGAAGCTGTTGTCTGATGTGCGTACGATGTGCGTGAGCTCAGGCATGTGCATACTATGGCATGCTTGTGGAGGTCGGAGGCTAGCCCTCAAGGGCTGTTTCTGTCCACCCGCCGAGAGTTCCAAGTGTGTCAGACTTGCGTGACAAGCCCCTGACCTGCTGCACCATCCTGCTGGCCCGACTTCCGAGACCCGTTAAAGGGAGACTTACGGATGATGTATTTACGAGGTGAAGGGAGTTACTATGGGTGAAATGGAGATCAGTCTGCGTCTTGGTTTATGAACTGGTAGTATCATGTATTAATTGTAAGTTTCAGTGCGAGAGACATGAGGGGTTTGGTTTTTTTTCCATTAGGTTCTGGGACATCACTTTGCCCTCATTTGCCTCAGGTACTTGGGGTCCCTCTAAACTTTCTGTCTCCCCCTCTTGTCCCTGATCAACTCTGGATTATATCCCCGAGCTGTCCTTGGATTATACTTCCTTTTCCTCTCTCTCCTTTCTCTTGGGGTCACCTTCACGTTGGAGTCCCTGCCTCTGGTTATTTTTGGTGCTGGAATTCAGCCAACAGACCATATAATTAAGACTCGGACACTGACTTAGGGCTTGAGACCTGAGCATTATTCCTCTATCACTTCCTGGCACCACGGCCCCTTCTCAGGAGCTCTTGCTCCTAGCTGAAACCATCCGATTGATTGGGAATGCTGACAGTCTGAGATAACTTCCCTGGGCATCCGTATTTGAATTTCCGTGCGCCATTGAATCTTACCCTTCTTTCTTCCGCCTGACCCCGATGGCTGGGCTCTGACTCTAGCCTGTCTCATATATCCCGGTCTGTGCTCTCCTCTCTGAGAGGGAGGCATCTTTTACAGAGCATTGTTCTGTAGCCCAGTCCCGTGGCTGGCATTTTCCATGCATGAAATCCTTTAAGTCCTATAAAACTGGTAGAGCCATGTGCTCAAAGCAGGATTTGGAGAGAGACAAGCCCTTCCTTCCCACGAAACACCAGGGGCTCCTCACTGCCTCCTGAGCAGCACAGACACATCATCCCTGGCTCTCAACGACACTCTCCCTTTCAGGCAGAGTGCCTGTTCATCCCTTCTGTAGCCTCTCCTCCCCATGATGGGTCAGATTGTTCAGAACCAATGCCTGGAGAGAAAGAGAGAGAGAGAGAGAGAGAGAGAGATGAGACAGAGAGAGAGACAGAGACACACACAGAGAGACAGAGAAACAGTCAGAGAGACAGAGACACACACAGAGACAGAGACAGAGACAGAGAGAGACAGAGAGAGAAGATAGAAACAGAGAGAGACACACAGAGACACACAGAGAGACAGAGAGAGTCCCTGTACAGTCTAGCTTCTCCTGACCTCACTGTCTTTCTTCAGGAAGCCTCTGCCCTTCCTGAGGTCTCTCTCGTCATCTAAACTGGAAGTGCCCATTTCATGCTTTCGTTTACGCCTCCCTCGAGAGCTTGACCTCATTCTACCGTGTCTAAGACTGCACCCGATCTCCTCTGCAGTGTGGCCTGTTCCTTGAGGACAGGGCCCGTGCTTAGCTTTTTGTTCTTGAGAAATGAGAGATGCCCAGAAATCTTATTAATCCTCGAAGCAAGCGTTTATTGAGAATCCACGGTTGGTTTTCCGCCTTTTCCTGTTCAGTCAGCATCTGCTGAGTTAAACAAAAGTGATTGCGGATGGCCCTCCTGTAGTCTCTCAGCTCCGATACAGCCAGCATTTTGCTGCCAGAGTGATCATCCTCTTCCTCCTCTGGTCGGTTGGTCGTTATATTGTCCTATGAATCGGAACTTCTCTGATACTGACTATCCCCAAAATTTAGGTCCTGGGCTTAGACATTGGAGACACATGTGGGACGAGGAAGCTGACGTTGTACACTGAGAGGCATGTATAGGACTGAGGAGGAGGAGAATTAATTCCCAGGGCCTGAGGGAGTGGGGGGAGGGAGATGAAGTGAGAAGATGCTGCCGTGAGGGAATTAATGTCTGGTTTTATCTTTAAAGATTAATAGGAGTTATCTAGCCCTGTGCCTGTATGCTGGGGTTGCACATACATGTCACAGCACATCTGTGTGTGTGTGTGTGTGTGTGTGTGTGTGTGTGTGTATCAACTTGACACAAGCTGGCATCATCTGGGAAGAGGGGACCTCAACTGAGAAAACGCCTCCATCATATCGGCCTGTAGGCAAGTCCGTGGGGGCATTTTCTTGATAAAGGATTGATGTGGGAGGGCCCCGCCCACTGTGGGTGGTGCCACTCGCGAGTGGGTGGCTCTAGGTTGTATAAAAGTGTAAGCTGAGCAGATCAGTGAGCAGGGTTCCTCCGTGGTCTCTGCCTCAGTGCTTGCCTCGAGGTTTCTGCTCGAGGGCCTGCCCTGACTTCCCTCCACCACGGGCTGTGTGACCTTGTGTGGTGAAATCAGCCCTTTCTGGGTTGGGTTTGGCTATGATGTCTGTCACAGCGACAGAGACACAGACCAGGACGGTGTGTGCTGAAGCCCCCAGGGCAGAGACGATAGGCCGTTGGTGGCTCTGTGGGTTGATTTTCCTGTATCTGCCGTTCAGCCAGCATGTTTGACAAAGACGACACAAAGACACTAAGACAAAGTTTTATTTCATTTAGACGGGTCCAGTACATCATGGCAGGGCAGAGTTCCTGTGGTCAGGAAGACACAGCTGGAATTTCTCACATCTGGGAGGACCAGGGAGCAGAGAGAGAGGAGGGGGTGCTGCCTTTCTCTTTTTATTCGGGTTAGAATACCAGCCCACGCACGGTGGTGTTCCTATTCAGGATGGACCTTCCTTCCTCCGCTAAACGCTCTCTGGAAACATCCTCGCTGACACGTCTGGAGGTGTGTCTCCTGGGTGGTCCTAAATCTA